ATGTATCTTTTGTATCGATTATAAATTCGGGGGTATTTGTCCTAAATCTTGTTCTAAAACCATTGAACAACAAACCCGCTTCATCAATGATTGGTGAAATGCTTTTTGGTAATTCTGGGCTAGGGTTTGAATAAAGACGTTTTACATCATCTACTGTCCTAATTATAACACCACTATATTCAATCGCTTTGGGGTGATGAGGTGGGGTTCTATACGAGGCGTGGGTTCTATAGCAAATCTCTTTTTTAAAATCTTCTTGACTTTTTAATGTAATGGAGCTATATTTTAGGTGTAAATATTATTGTTTAAGTTTATCCAGGTTTTAATTATTGTTTATGTTTTATAGCACAGTTCACTTATCTTCTTTCTTTCTATCTCTCTCTTAATACTTATTCATCTGAGTGAGTTCATTTCTTCACTCACTCACTCTCCCTCTTCACTCACTCACTCTTTCTCTCTTTCCATTGGTCTCTACCATGGTTTTCTGGTTTGTTTACCCAGACTCCCCTTGGTTTCTGCCTTTTCTGTATCTTTTTGCCTTCACAACTATATTAGTTTCTGGATTGTAAAGACCTTCTCTTTGCTAGTATCAGAAGTTTTGTTTGTCTCTTTTCACATTTGGATATTGTGTTTTGTGAACACTGGATTTTCTCTAGTTTTGGCTATATAATAGTTTGTTTTCAAGCCCTTTGCTTGGTACCTATTGGTGTTTAGGTGTTTTTGTTATATGTTATAAACTTTTAAAAACTTAATTGGATGTGTGGTTTCTCAGAACCCATTTGCTGACCACCCATTTCATTGGCGCCCAACGTGTTTGAACCAACAACCATTAACATTTGCGTCTGATCGATCAACTATCAACATACAGTGCACTAACAATATTTGGAAAATGTGTTTGTGATATTAATTTTGGATCCATAAAACTGTGATATTCTCGGACATAAACTGTAAGTGTATTAGTTTCATTTTGTATTTCATTGTGTATTAATTGTTACATATTCTATATTGATATATCATATTCATATGTGCCTCAATTATTTGTTTTTTTTTAAATAACTTGTAAAATCTAAATTTGAAATATTGAGATAATCTTTCTTTAAAAAGTATTAATTTCATGTAAACAGTAATTTTGTAAGTAATATATGTCTTAATATTTTGGATAAAGACTTAACAAATTTAGAATATTAGTTCAAAATTTAGTTTTGATTAAACTTACTACCTTGACATTAAGTCAACTTCCTGTTTGTCAGCCATTTTGAATTTCAAGAGTTATCTCCCACTAATTTTGTCATTTTCATATTACCATTAACTTTGAGATAATTTTTCTGTTTAGGAAGTAAATAAAATTCTTATTCTTCAATAACTTTAGTTTGAAAATAAAAAGTTTTTGATTTAGATCTAGATCAATTTATTTGTTTATTTTTTTTTTTTTTTTTTTTTTTTTTTTTGGTCGAACTTTAATTTATTTTTTTTTTCGGATTTGATTATTTTTTTTTAACATTGATAATTTAATTAAATGATTTAGTTGTAATTAATTTGAGTAATTATTATACAATTGGTATAGTTAGTTATATACCTGTAGTCTATATTTATGTAAGATATATACTTCTACAAATTTGCAATCATACATATTCACAACATTACATCTTTATATTACTATAATTTTGCACATAGGTTTAGTTGATAGTATACTTCGTATTGTAATTTATTCAGTTGGTTTGTTTTACTATTTGGTTTCAAGGCTGCATTTGTGAAGACTTTGCTTTTACTTTTGTTTCAAAAGTATTCCCAGTTATTTTTTTCTTCATACTATAGCATTTACTTTCTACTTATTATCTAGTCTTTATAATTTCCAGTTCCTTTATGGAAATTTAACTTTTTATTCTATTCTTTATATTTGTGTTTAACTATACTATGATTTAATAAAAAAAAAATTTTTTCAGATTCTTTACTCTCTTTATAGTCATTGTCTTTCTATTATTTCTCTATTGTCTTTTTCTTTTATCTTTGGATCCATCACATGCAAATACACATTATTACCACCAATTACTAATTTGTTGCACTTGTATTTCAGGAATTTATTAGGTAAGCTCTATACTATATAGATCTGATAGTGGATCTGTGTTTGATTTTTCAGATATTGTGTTCGATTTTTTAGTGATTGTGTTTGATTTACAGATTGTGCGTTCTATTTTCGGATAGTGTCATACTTATTTTTTTTTTTTCGTGTATATTTGTGTGTTTATTTTTCGTGTTTTGCGTTATCGTGCGAATTATATCGGTTGCGTATAAAAGGCCTATAGCGTTGTGTATTTTTTTTTCTCAGTTCATATTTGCATGATATGCAAATGATTATACACTGATCGGTGCGTAACTTATAATCGTGTTCATTTGTGTTGTGTTGTGTATCTTATAACGGTATTAATTTGTGTTGTGGTACGTAAATCTACAATTGTGTTTATTGTGCTTTTGTTTTTCAGGTTACTACCCTGTGTGGTTTTTGTGTTATATTTATCTCTTTGAGGTGTGTTAGTATTTTTGTGTCTCAGTTTTTGTGTCATAGTTTATTGGGTTTTTTTCCCATTGTTTGTTGCTAATCATCATGGCTTCGGGTCAGGATAAACCTACAGATCCTAGAGAAGAACAACCCAGAGATGTCAGACCAAAGACTTTCACTTTGTCCACAGCCGATGAAGATAGTTTACTTGGTATCTTTAACAAGTTGGAAGTTAGACCAGAGACAGATACACCTGAACACTTCATAGACTGGATGCAACAATTCCTTATATCTTCAGGTAGGATGAAGGAACCCCAACTATTGGCACAGACTGATTTTAAGGCAACTACTGAAGAATATAGATTACCAGACCCTTTGGATCATAGACCACTTCGACAGGCAGTTCAGGATGACAGCACTTATGCTCGTGAAAACACCAGATCTCACCATCCATTGCCAGCTACTAACTTGCCTAGAGTATCAACGTTTTCTGGTGATCCAACAGCGAAAGGTGACACATCATTTGACATATGGAAGTTTGAAGTTTTAAGTTTGCTTCAGGATAATAGGTATAGTGAGGAAACTGTCAGGCTTGCTGTCATTAAGTCCTTAAAAGGTGAAGCTGCTAGGGTTGCTATGCATTTGGGTCATGGTGTTTCAGTTCGGCGTCTGTTGAGTAAATTGTCAACACGGTTTGGATTATTAGAGGAAGGTCAGAGTCTTTTGTCTAAATTTTATTCAGCCAGTCAAAAACCAGAAGAATCGGTTTCCAGTTATGCTTGTCGTTTAGAAGATTTATTATGTAAAGCTTAACTGGAGGGAGAAGTAGATAGAGATTCGTTTGATTCCAGATTACGGAACAAGTTTTGGAGTGGCCTTAGATCTGATTTAAAAGATAAATCTGTCCATAAGTACGACCGAATTGACAACTTTGACTATCTTCTGGTAGAGGTTAGGAAGATAGAGCAGGACATGGTGCAATCAACATCTAAAGCAACATCGAAAGTAAAAGTGAACAGTATTCAGAAACCTGCAGCAGACACATCTTCGGATTCGGAATTAAAAGGGATGATAGCCAGCCTTACCAAGTCGATGTCTGCTCTGCAACAGGATGTCAAGATGCTAAAGGAAAGACCGCAGCAAATACCATCAGGTAATAACAGACCAACAACTTCAAAGGAGAGAGAACGAGCTATTCCAACCTGCTATCGTTTTGGGCAAGAAGGCCATATTGCCAGAGGATGTAGGATGCCTAAGAATAGTCATTTAAACAACTAGATGTCGCTGCCGAGGGACAGTCAGTCGACATCATTAGCTCTAGTCCCAAAGATATTATTGGACCCTGTAATATTGCTGTTATTAACATCCTTGAAACATCTTGTGCAGCATTATTGGACACTGGTTCTACAATTTCAACTGTATCGGAGTCATTTTTTAGAAAACATCTCGAAGGTAAGTATTGTGAGATGGTTCCTTTACAAGACATTATACAGGTAGAGAGTGCAACTGGTCATACTTTACCATACTTAGGGCTATTTGTTTGTTTTGCTTTGACTATTCCCAGTTTCAAGTCATCTCTAACTGAAGGTATTTTTCTAGTGGTACCTGACACAGCATTTAATTCGACAACACCCATCTTGATTGGCACCAACATTTTAAAACCAGTATTGAATCAGGTATTAGCAGATTATGGACACAACTACTTTCTAACTGCATGCTTACCAGAGACATGGACATCAACTTTACGATGCATGCAGATGCATGAGAAAAATTATTGGAGAAAGTAGGAGTTATACGCTTTGATGAACCGAAATCTAGCATCATCCACAGTAACCAGTCCTTAAGTTTAAAAGGAAAGATCTCGGATTATGCTTTACAAGGGAAACAGTGTGTTCTTTTTCAGAATGCTTCAGATTCTAATATTTGTGCAAATATTGAAATCACCCCTGTTATTATGGAAGTAGATCCAGATGCTTTGGATATTCCCGTTATAGTTCGTGTGTCGAATTTATCTTTATCAACGGTGCGAATTTTTCCACATTCGATCCTTTGTGAGTTGGTAGCAGTTGATATTGAGCAGAATCCGGTAAGTAACAGTTTGACACCATCCAGTTCTGCATCTGAATCGGAATTACCATCAACGAATTTCATGGATGAAATCGATTTTAGCAAGACAGCTCTGGAACCCGAACAACTCGAGCAATTAAAGAGTACATCAAGAACTGGTCACCAATCTTCTCCCAACACGACAACGATATTGGATGCATCAACCTAGTCAAGCACAACATCACCCTTGACAGATGATATTCCCATCAAGCAACCACACAGGTGTATACCACCAGCCATGTATGATGAGGTCAAGAAACATCTTCATGATTTATTGGAAGGAGGAATCATCAGGCGCAGTTGCAGCCCGTATGCATCACCGATAGTGTTAGCACGAAAGAAAGATTCTTCGCTGCGCATGTGTGTGGACTATCGGTTGATTAACAGGAAGACTGTTCGTGATGCCTATGCCCTACCAAGAGTGGAAGAACTACTAGTTCGAAATATTTCTCCGTCCTTGATATGAAGAGCGGTTACTACCAATTAAGCATTAAGGAGGAAGACAAGCCGAAATCTGCATTTACAGTAGGTCCACTTGGATTTTACGAATATAACAGAATGCCTTTTGGTTTGACAAATGCACCTGCAACATATCAACGTTTGATGGAAGACTGTCTTGGAGATTTGAATTTAAAAATTTGTGCAATCTTCATAGATGATTTAATTATATTTAGTAAAACTTACGAGGAACACCTGGAACGTATGTCAATGGTATTTTCCAGACTTTTTCACCATGGATTAAAGTTAGCCCCAAAGAAATGTCATTTCTTTCAGGAAAAAGTAAATTACTTAGGTCATGTAGTATCAGCAAATGGTGTGGAAACAGAATCAGCGAAAACAGAGATTACCACTCCGCCCTACTAACCATCAGGAGTTACGACGTTTTCTGGGATTTGTGGGATACTACAGGAGATACATCAAGGATTTTTCAAAGATTGCCAAGGACCTTAATGAATTGTTGGTGGGTGGAACTACCAAAACGAAGAGGGGGAAGGTACATACAAGTTTAATGGAATGGTATTGGAGTGAGAATCAGGAACTAGCTTTTAAGACTCTGAAGGAACATCTTGTAAACCCGCCGATTTTAGCTTATGCAGACTTCTCAAAGCCCTTTGTTCTACATACGGATGCTAGTGGAGCTGGACTAGGTGCCGTTTTATACCCGGAAATAGAAGGAAAGGAAAGAGTTATCGCCTACGCAAGCAGATCATTGACCAAGTCTGAAAAGAATTACCCTGCTCACAAATTGGAATTCCTGGCTCTTAAATGGGCTGTTGCAGAGAAATTTCACCAATATTTGTACAACAACCAGTTCACAGTTTACACTGACAACAATCCACTTACGTACATTCTTACCAGAGCTAAACTTGACGCAACAGGACATCGTTGGTTGGCAGCTTTAACAGGATACACCTTTTCGATAAAGTACCGGGCAGGCAGGAAAAATTTGGATGCAGATGCTCTTAGCAGACAGAAATTTACTGAAGTGACTGATGACTTGGTACAAGCGATTAAGAACATCGAACTAGATGATGGTTATCTGCAGACGGTGAGTATGTCCTAGCAACTTCTAACAGACAGTTCACCACCAACTCCAACATCACTGGTAAAGCACACAGACTGGCGTATTAAACAACTCAACGATCCCTTATTGAAACATGTTATTATTAATCTAGAGAAAAACAGGAAACCACATCCACGAGCTACATCACAAGAGGAAGCAGCTTTGAATCGGGAATATGGACACTTCGTCCTTAGATCGGGAACCTTATTCAGGCGCGTTTAGTTTTGCCATCTAGCTACAGGAAGCAAGCTCTAAATGGAATTCACGACGCTGTTGGTCACCCAGGAAGGGAACGAACTTTGAGTTTGGCAAAAGAAAGATTCTTTTGGCCCAGAATGGTTAGCGACATCGATGACTACATCAAGAAGTGTGACAGATGCATTCACAGGAAAACTTTACCATCGACATGTCCACTAGTCAGTATAACCTCAAATCAACCAATGGAACTAGTATGTATGGACTATGTTTGTGTAGAGGAGTGTAAGGGTGGTTATAGCAATATCCTTGTTATAACTGACCACTTCACTCGCTTTGCACAGGCGTTCCCTGTCCGGAATACTTCTGCTAGTGTGACTGCTAAGTGTCTTTTTGATTCCTTCATTGTTCACTATGGTATCCCGAAAAGGATCCATAGTGATCAAGGTGCTCAGTTCGAAGGAAAGCTCATTAAGGAACTTTGCAGGCTCACTGGTATGGAGAAATCCCGTACTACACCTTACCATCCGCAGGGAAATGGCCAATGTGAGAGATTCAATCGGACTCTGCTCAATATGTTGG